AACACAGTCTTAGTTTAAAATCAAGAAAAAAGAAAAAGAAATGATCTTTTATTCATAGTTATTATTATTGTTTTTTAATTCCCACTGGTTTATTCTATTCTGAAGAAGCTAAAGAAAAAGGTAGTGAAAGTTGACAGCGCAAATTGGAGGACGTGGGGTCACAAACTTATCCTCGAGATAGATAGGGCTCACCAGGGGGAAAAAAAAAAGTAGGAAGAACTGGGGACTTGGAAAAAGACAGAATTTGGGAAAACCCTTTGTCTTTTTAGAGATTTCTCTTTTTCCTTAACGATGCGTTGTGGTTGTTGGACCATCAAAACAAAAGCTCATGACCTTCACATCTATTCGAATCAATTCGTTGCGTTTTACATTAGAATATATCGAAGCCTCCTCGATTGATTTTTTGTTTTTTGATTTTAACTTTTAATGAATAGGGTGATAATGGATTTTGATTAGTGAGAGATTGTTGGATCCACGAGGCAGAAAAGAATGATATATAACTGATCTCATGGCCAATGAAATAAAGTTGGAGGAAGGATCAGAAATCATGTCGTGGATGATCAACGACACTTCTAATTAGTTGACAGAGAAACTTTCATGTGGTCCGTGAATGCTTCTATTTTTAGCTTTAGTGGTGGCATTGAAAGATGTAGCCCCAATTACATCACACAAGAAAATGTCAAAACAGTTACAGCAGTTTGGCAACTCAAATCTTCAAGTTGAAGCTCTGCTGGCTCTAGTTTAGCAACTCAAATATTGAAGTACAACTGTAAAAGCTCTGTTAAGCTTATTTATTTAAGTTTTATAATTAGTATAGAGATTTTTTTTGGCAGGCCAAGTGGGTAATCAAATTTGTAATTTTTTTTTTTGAGTTCAGATGCCCGTTAAATTTTAGACACCATTAACTTTAATGGGTTTTAGAAGGGAAAAGACATGAGATGTTCTCATGGGACTGGATTGGCTGGAGACCAAATCATCCACACGGAATTAGGCTATCTATCACAAGTGGACACATTAGTATTCACTGTGGGCTCTATCTGTAGTGAATACTGGCGTGTTCATTCCTGATAAGTAGCCCAGCTGAGCCGAGTGTGCATGATTTCATCCGGACTATTTTTTCATTGGTAATTGCAAAAATTTCGGTGCCAAAGGTGTGATTTCTTTTTATTTAGGTAGGAAGGGGAACGGGGAGGGGTGTCGGAGCAGGGTGCGCATCAGGTCCATCAACCTTTATCACAAAAAAGTTTACAGTTACATGGGTTAGAAACCATTTGATACTAATAGACCTGTTTAAGAATCAGGCTCGGTTTGACTTTTGTCAAAATTTTAATGGATCTAGCCCGATACAGTGTAGAGTTGGGCCCGAAACCTGGCCCATGAACAATAAATATTAATGAGCGTATGAGTTAGAAGCTGGCAGGCCTTATTAGAGCATCAAAGTGACATATACTAATCACTAATCAGCGTGTGAGTTAGAAACCATTTGATAATAGTTAGGGGGTGTTTATGATTTGATTAATATTTGAAACTGAACCCAACTGTCATATATATATATATATATATATTAAATTCAACCGACACTAAATTGAATCAATTAATTAATTGAGAAAAATTGTGTAAAACTCACTATGACTTTTCAGCATTTCTCTTATACTTATCATAACTTTTCAAAATGTCAAGGAACCCCATGTTAGTGAGTTTTTATTTTCCAAACCTCACCATCTGTTAGTGTACATAAACGGGAGTTGTTCATGTCAGTATAAATACAATTTTTATAACCAAACTACCCCTGAATAGCAAGTCAGTCTTATTAAACATATTTTTATGACTAAAATGCCCTTAAACATCCAACTGCTCTGTATAAAATTTCTACTCATTGAGAGACGTTTTACTCTCATTGTGCTGCTTGAAAGTATTCTAAGGAAGCTGAAAAATGGGTTTTGGGTCGAATAATAATAGGGGAATTTTTAAAATATTAAAAAATAAGTCAAATATAACAAAGGGTAAAATGGTAATCTATTAACATTCATTAGTATTTTAGCGTTCAAATTACTGACATGGGGTTCCTTGAACGTTTAAACCATTTATTGATCATATATATATATATATATATTAAAAAATAAGTCAAATATAACAAATGGTAAAATGATAATCTATTAACATTCATTAGTATTTTAACGTTTAAATTACTGACATAGGGTTTCTTGGACGTTTAAACCATTTATTGATCATATATATATATATATATATATATATATATATATATGTATGTATGTATAAATTCAAAACTGAACAACTGATAGTCAATAATTAAAAGACATATCAACAAATCATTCACTTAAGCAGCATCTTCAAACTGTTCCTATATATACTTAGCACTATAGTGTAAAAAACAAAAACAAAAAATTCATAGTTAAGAAAAAAAAACATAGAATATACAACGAAGCTGACACATGAACATGAAATAAGGGATGCCATCAACCCCTTGTGAGCTATGATAATGAGTTCATGAGTTTGGTCTTACTTTAAAGTTGTTTTCAATAACTAAGAGGACTTCCAACATTGAAAAATTAAGGATTCTTTCTAAAATTAGCCCACTTATATTTATACAACCATCATCCTATACTTAAGCTTGTTTTTCTTTGGGGCGTACAACTTCATCGATATAAAAGTCCATTAGTGGAGTTCAATACTGAAGGTTTAATCATTGTGCTTTCAAAAATGTGATTATCGATGTCAAATTTTACTGTAAGTGATTTACGATGTAAGTGGACTTTTATATAATTACATTGATTTACGATGTAAAAACTCCACTCCATTTAAATGCCAATAATATAAAACCGGGAGTGGAATTTAAATGCCAACAAATCTGAATCAGGAGTGGAGTTTAAATATCGATAAATCTAATTAGAGAATGGAGTTTTTCATCAATCTTGATTTACATTGCAAACAGCTACTAATAAAAATAAACCGATGATGGACTTTTACATTAATACCGATTTACACAGCAAATAAATGCAGCCTAAGGGGTAGTGACACTTAGCCTTGAACTTTGTTTTACAACAAAAAGACCCGATGAGCTTCTACATTTCAGCATTTTGACTGTCATTATCATTTCATCAATTAATTTTATGAAATATTCTTTTAAACATATCTAAAACCCCATGCTATATATCTTAATTTTATGAAATATTCTTTTAAGCATTTCTAAAACCACAAGCTATGCTTATGTTATTTTATGAAATCACTTTTTCTTTACTTTTTCCGAAATCTTAACTCTCATATGTCTCTATCAACTATTTTTAACATCTTAAGAATGACGAGTTTTATATGAGAAAAAAAAAAACCACTGTGCCCCCATCAGGCTTTTTGGAGTGTTTTTCCTGTTAAAGGATTTATTATCTTATGATTAGACATGTTCATGAATCGGGCTGGGCTTTGTATATGTATCAACAGAATACACTCAGGCCTAAGCTTAAGCTTGGCCCGACCATCAGGCCTAGGTCTTAAGTCCAAGCTCGACCTTCATATAAAGCCCGAAACCTGGGCCCGAGCTCAAGGTCGGCCAAAAATTTGAAAATAGAATTTTTTCTTTTTTTTTCAATAAAAAATGTTTTATTTATATTAAAAACCTTCAAAACTAAAAAATAATAAACATCTTACTATTACTTGGAAAAAATAGAAGAAGAACAAAGAAAAAATATTGTATATATTTTATTAAATAAAATATTTTTATTATTTAATATATAGTAGCAAGTCGGGCTCGGGCTTGAGTTCGGTGTGAAAAACATCGGCCTGGTGCTTTAGGCCCGAGCCCAAGCCCATGGGCCTAAAATTATGACCAAGACTGACTTATAATGGGCCCGGCCCATGAACAGGTCTACATATGACTACTAAAAACTAATGATGCATCTAGGGCTGATTTTTTTGAGTTGGGATCTCCCGCCGACAAAACATGTTTCAACACTCTCTTTCATCATGATTTGACATTGTACATCCCACCATGAGATTGGGACCCATCATAAAACTGGGACTCACAATTTATGAGATGTGTGGTATCAAATCACATTGGAAGGATAGGTATTGCAGATGATCTGGACGAGATATTTCAAACAAGGTTCAAAGTAGTGATACATATTGCATTGTATTAGAGGGCTTTTACGGTTTCAGATGTTAATGACCCTCCTAATGTATCATTTTTTTTTTTTTCTGATAATCACTACAATGTAAAAAAATTTGAAGGGTTTGACTACAATGCCGGAAAGACATGATACTGGAAGAAATTACAATCAATCGACAGATATCATTAAAGTAGCTAGGAACCAACCAAATGGGTTTTCACCAAAATTTACAGGGGTTGTAATTGGTAAAAGCTTTTCGGGTATCATAATTTTTCCCAAATATGAAATATCAAAATGAAAATATAAAATAGTCATTAGAAAATGGAAACTCACGATGCACATTTATTGATATTTTAAACTTGCTGGGAGCTTGTTGAAGCACATTTAAAAGTTAAAACCAATTGGAATCAATAACGTGCATTGTGATTATTGTTTTCCTGTACGTTGAGTGTGATTTCGGGGCTGATCATTTTCAGGCGGCTGCGCATAGTCCCAAAATTTTGGGTTTAGGCCTATATTTTGTGAGTCCGGATTTCTTATCTAGGGCAATTCTGTCCACACCTACCCATATAACATTGTATACACACTCTTATATGTTATTATATAAGGGGAGATGTTGCAAATGCAGTAGGTAATGTTTTGTGGGTAGGCATGGGTAAGGGTTTTTGTGGGCGGGAGATTCGGAGTCATATTCTGTATTTAGGCCTATCCAGTCCCGAGCCCACAAATGGTGGCTGGACGTGGCCGGGCCAATATAATACTGTAGACCCGTCTCGGGCCCGGCCTGGCACACACAGCCCATGTTCATCCATTGGGGGTGATTTATATGCCTGAAGCCCTGAACTGAATTGCCACATCAACCGAAAGAAATATGTTTGGGTGAAGTGCGTTTTTGCAAGAAAGATGGGCGTACTAAAATCAGGATACTCATTCTTCACCACCTTCTTCCTGATGTGATTTGACGTGGGTCTTCCGGTCTGGACTAGAATCCAGATATGCATGTCCTGAATCCTATCCGATCCCACACGCTCCGACGGTTTTGTTATTCTTGTTCACTCTAAAATCTATAACTATCAGTAATGTGTGGATAACTGGTACTCTGGTAGAGCCATTCTGTGGAGGCTAGAGAGGGGTAATGGGGTGTCCACTGTCCAGCTACTCGGATTCGGATAGGGTCTGGGTCAATTTACAACCCACCTCTAGCGGCGACGGCCTAGCAAAATCGCATTCGCAATTTACAACCCAACCCGCTCTAGTGGCAAGAGTATGGTTGAAGGCGAGCCGGGGCCCGGAAGGCAGAAGAAAAAACGGAAATTTTGATGAAATTAAAATCTGCCATGACCATGTTCTCATGATCCTCCTCTATTGAACCACGGCGTAAACTCCTCATCAAGAGATTAGACGCCATTAGCCTCACATCCCCCTACCTCTCCATCTCCGGTGTACACTGCTCCCGGTCGTCGCCGGAACAACTCCAAATCTCCCCCCGACATTGGCCAGGATTTTAGACCCATCGGCCCCTCCTCCCCAGTGAATCCTCCACCCAGTTGCCGCCTCGGGTCGAGGTTTCATTCCGAATACCTTCCGGCCCATGTCGGTCGACCAATTGGTCATTGTTGCGAATCCGGGTGTGTTTCCCTTCAATTGGTTGTGGAGTTTTCCTACCAACTCATGAGGCCGCCTCATCTCGAATCACGATATACGGGGGGCCCGGTTTCGGGTTCTAGGCTCCTACCTAGCAAGAGCATTCCCGTCGTCGTCCACCCCAAAGTTCAACTTCTCAAGGGTTTCTTTGTTATTTCAGTTTTTACTTTCGAAAAATCTAGGCTGCTGGTTTTGGCAACATGTGGTTTTCTTTGATATTTAGGTCAATATACATGCCTGTATGCTTTTGTTATTCTATTTTTGGGTTTCAGTAGTTCAATATATGTTTTAAAAAATTAAAATGGGTAAATTTGACTATTTGAGGAAAGAAAGCTAGTCATCTTGATCTGCACAGGCCTTAAGTTAATTAGTATTAAGTGCATAAAATAGAAGAAAAACTTGTAGCTTTCTTATCCCATGAGGAAGTAAAGAATTTGTAAGTGACATTATTCGGCCTCACAACCTCCAGAAGTCATGAAACTCTGTCATGGTTTTTCTTTTTCCTTTTACATTTCCATTGGGCTGCAGTGAAGATTTGCACACAATAAATATTAATCGAACTTTATAGTCTCAGAGTCAAAGGGAGGCAATCTGACACCATATACAGAGGCTAGAATATCAGCTGTGATCAAATACCTTAGGCCTACTGGATCCCAATGCACCAAGATGGTCTTCCCTATCATACTTGTGAAATCTTTCTTTCTCAAAACAGTCTCAGCATCCTCTAGAGTCTTTGGGAGAACAAAACATTCATCAATCCCTCTTTTGGTCTTTTGAAGAAACAACATCCTTGGGCACCATATTAGACACTCATACATCTTGAAGCATTGATTAGTCCGACAATCTCTGGACATGCATAACCTGTATAATGCTATAACATTGTTGTACAACTTAGGTAATTTACCTACCCCACACCACCCTTCATGACAAAACTAACACGACTTCCATAATCCCATTGCCTATTTGAAACTCTCAACATGAAACAGAATCAGCATACCCTTCATAATGCCTTTCACCTGGGGACTATCTGTTTTCCATCCCTAATATTATTTCTCAGTCATGATCATATTTCTGATGTCACAATTAGTACCTTGCCTTTAGATTTCATTCACTAATCTTTCATCTTACCTTGTTTTAGGCTGCACACTTCCTGTCTTCAAAATCTGATTTTGATGCCTATAAGCAGTTGAGTTATTTATTTTAAAATTTCTTCTCATTAATGTCTTTGGCTCTATGCTATGTGAATAGTAATAGTTCTTCTTTACATCTTTTTCAGGAACAAAAGCAGAGATGATGCATTTGTGACAAGTAATAATTGAAAAGTAAGTACAAAGTTTCTTGTTTCTTCTGATTGTTGACTATATACATGTATTATACATGTAGGTATGATTCACATGCTATCTTAACTATTACCTATTATTCTCAAAACTGCCCATCTGTTTACTGTACTGTCTTCCCTTGGTACCAATCAACTGCAAACCTAGGGCGTTCTTAATATTGTAAGAACTTTTCAAGTGATTTTTAACCAATAATTAAAAAGGTGAGGTGCATTTCAAGGTGTGCACCTCGCCTAGGCCTAGGTGTAGCCCCTTTGAAAAGGCACATGCCTGATGCACTTTCCTGCATCAGATGAGGTTGTAATGCAGGAGCCGAAGAATCAACTATGGAATTTTCTTAAATTTTCTGTATTTTTTGTATATTTGGACAATATGGGTATTTTCGTCATTTTAACTATTCCTGTGTGGGGCCTAGGCTATAACATCTAGTTCCTCGAATTTAGTAGGGCTTGTCTTTCAATTTTCAGTTTATTTGCACTAGTAGATAGAAAGTTATTGTGTTTCTTGGTGCACAAGACAAGGAATGTCATTTTTGTAATTATGGTGAACAGTATTCCGGGCCACACATGCCACTCTATAAATAGATGTATTCTCTTCCTTTTGAAGCTAATAAATGAATGAAGATTTCTTTAGAGCAAGCTTTCTGTATGGAGTGATTCCTACAAACCCTAGAGTGATTCTAGGACCCCTTGGAGTGATTCATTGGGGTTTCTCTCTCATTTCTCTTTCTCCGCCCCTTCTCCTCCCTCCCCCTCTCTCTCTCTCTCTCTCTCTCTCTCGCACTCTCATTTCTGTCTGGTGATAGTTTGTTCTAGCCCTACTACATCAGTTTTTGTATCAGAGCTAATGGTTAGTCACCATGTTCTCACAAAGTGACCGATTCTATGGGCCTAGGGTATTATTTAAACAATCTTATGTGCCTAGAATCAATGGTGATAGGGTTTTTGAACCATATGAAGGGTCTATGGTTGATTTACTTGAGAAATTGGTGGAAGAAAGTAAATCTAGTAATGTTGGCTATAGGAGTAAGGTTTTCAGGAATGTTAGAAGAGAAGAGGGGAAGTGCTTAATTTTAAGGGAGATGAAGACAGAGAAGCATTCTTTAATTGGATTGCTATACTAGAAGAACATTTTGATTGGCATGATATGTCTAAAAAACAAAGATTTAGAGTTGCACGCATGAAGCTCGTGGGTATTGCTAAAGTTTGGTGGAGAGCTCTTGAGCAACAACTAGAAAATAGAGGTGAATATCCTATTACCACATGGGCAAAGATGAAGAGGTATTTGCAAGAAAAGTACATTCCACAATACTTCCATGATGATTTATATGTGGAGTTGACTAATCTTAAGCAAGGTATGTTATCCGTAGTTCAATATATGCATAAGTTTGATGAATTATATATTAGACGTGACATTACAGAAAGTGAAAGGCACAAATCAGTTCGTTTCATGAATGGACTAAGGGATTATATCAAGAATGATTGTCTACAATTCAGATTTATGACTTAGATCATGCCTTTGAATTGGCTCTCAAGATAGAGAATAAGCAGCTGATTACAAAGTATTTGAAGCCAATGAGAAGAAAGTACAAAGTTGAAGATAAAGATGATGATTTTTCTTGCATGTTGATGCCCATCCTAGAGATAAAGTTGTGAATGAAGAATTTCAACCTATAGAAATTGTAAACATTGAAGATCAAAAGAGTGTAGGCTAAGAGAAGATTAGAATGGTTGAAGAAGGAACTTCCAACACCCATGGTCAACTTGAGGTTAATGATCAAGAAGAGATAGAAGTAGGGCAAGATGCAAATGTGTTGGTTGTAGTAGATGTTAGTAAGGAAGTAAGTCATGACCTTACCTTACAAGTTCAACTGGATCCAATTCAAGAATTACAAGTTGACATAGTGCAAGTTCCACCAACATCAATAATGGTAGAAGTTCAAGATTTTGTTGAAGAACCAAGGGGAGCTGGACACATAGAGATGGACATTTCTCAACTAGAGATTGAAGGAAAAGTTCCAAATGTTGCAATTGAGATTTTGGATATGGAAGTTCATAGTGATAAGCAATGGGTGTCAACGGTATTCAAAAATCCAATTTCGAAATCGAGATTCAATATAATCAAATCGAATTCGGATAATTTGAATATCTAATCGGTCGAATTCGGATATGACCTGATTCGATTTGATAAATGTCCGAATTCGACCGAATACTTATTTCTTAAAAAAAGTTAAATATTTTATATAATTTATATATTTATATACTTTATATAAATAAAATATTTATTTTATATATTTATTAATTACCTAAAATAATTAATTGATCAAATTCGAATCCAATTGAATATTCGAATATTTAATCAAATTCGAATTCGAATATGAATTTTCAATATCTGTCGGATATCAAATTGAATTCGGATATCAGATTTCCTAATCGGATTCGAATGCGGATATTGCTTGATTCGATTTGAATTCAATCCATTTACACCTCAAGTTATCATTCTCATATTTGTCTAGTGGAAAATTTTCTGAGACCTCAATATAGTTGCAACTCAAATTTTCTAAAGTTACTTTGCTAAAGTGATTCTTGTTTGTTTTTACATAGTGTTTATGCAGTAAATGAACTGCAAAGCAAGGGGCTTAAAAGCATTGATGGAGTCAACAATGAAGTTTGTTACATTCTTTGGTTAGGATTCCTAAACTCAATAAATTTTAGTAAACTTACATGTGCTTAGTGGATCTTTCTAAATTCCTTCACTTTATTGGCAAAAATGTGTTTTAGTAGATCTGATTCTTTAAACTTGGCCTGTATTTGTTTTCAAAACTGGAAGTTTAAGCATAAATGCCACTTTTCTGAGGCACTATTGTGCTCATGGGGTTTCAGTAATAGTGTATACTTTACAACGTCGAAACTTCTAACTTGTATATGTGTCTTTGTGAAACACTTTTGTATAACCTGTTGAGGGAATTGCTTGATTTAACATTTGAGCTTTTTATTGGCACGCACGATTTGGAATGGTGGTAAAATTTCTCCCAAGACCTTTTCCTGCATCCGTGGCAAACATTTGTTTGCCTAAGAAAACTAAAGGTGATGAAGAGGACGAAAAAAAGGTTGGTTCTTTTAATAATTTATTATATGGCACAACTGCATTCAAATTATTTTTGTTTCTTTATATTTGTTTGGTGTAATCACTTGTATGTTTAGGCATTGACCAATGCATGCAGTAGATTTGTTAAGTGAAAATCTTGCTGAGGAAGGTTCTTGTGTGGTAGCCAGTTATGATATTCATGCAATGATGTGTATTATCTCTTTAATTGGAATCCGCTGTTAGAGAAATCCTCTACATTTAAGTTAGTTTTAAGCAGTATTTTTATTATTTGGATTGGTGACTGTGCATGCCACATTTAAGACATCTCGTTTGCATGAATGAAGACCAAGGAAGCATAATTTGGCAACATTTACTGATTTTGAGTATGGAGATTTCAAAATGAGCTGAACTTAGATTGAATACATGAAGCAATCTTTTTTTTTTCCTGAAATAGAATCGCAAGTGGGGAATGAGTTAAACAATGGAAGCAGGAGTTTCCTGAAATCACTTTTCCCCCTGTTCATATGAAAGGGAATTAGCTGGATAGAGTGCACAGGTTCTTTGGAAGCATTGTGTGACTGATGAACACAGATAAAAGTAGATTGGGTAACCATACTTGACTTGAGGAACAGGAGAAGATTGTTGTGCAATCAAGAAATGATACATATAAAAATGACTGTAGAGGAACTAAGGTTGTTGAGATCATTGGTACTACAAATAGGGATGAGCTTGGAAATAAGTATATTCTAAGAACCTAATTTGCAAGAATTGGTAACAAGTGAAAGTGGACCAAGAATGTTCTGCCATCTGAATCAAGGACACTACAATAAGGAACAGAATGTTATTCAATCATGAAATGACAACTAAAGAATGGCTCCAGTGGAGATAAGTTTGTTGAGATTAGTGATAATACAAATAGGGATGAACTTGGAAATAAGTACAGTTAAGGAATTTTTGTTGCAAGAACTGGCAAGAAGATAACTTATGGACTGATATTTCATCCATCTGACATTAGGACAGTGCATCCCTCCATTTTCTAAAATCCTAGAAAAGGATATGGGTACGAGTATCCTATATAATATGCCTTTGTGCATAAATTAATTTTAAAGCCATAGGTCCAGAAGTCCTGCTTATGATCACTCCTAATAAGAACAATGCATAACTGCATGATGTAGGTAGTGTGGTTTATGATACATTCCTGACTTACCATTACAACTTTATTCTGTGTTGTAGCTTGTAATTTTTTGTGGTTGAGTAGAAGGAAGATCAATTTTCTTCATTTGTGGTATTGAGATCTGTTGGGATACACATGTGAGTTATGAGGAGTGAAAGAGTCCCACACTGGAAAAACGCAAGAAGTGCAAGGAACTTGTATGTTATATACAAGAGGTGGCCCAGTAACTCAATAGCTTAGGATTTTGGGTTGCAAGTCATTTGTTTGTGCCTTATATATACAATTGGATGTTTTGTTACATTTGTCCATCATATGTTACTAGAAAAGACAGTTTGCAGTTTAGTTGTCCAATTTTTGTTGATCTCCTTAGAGGCCTCATACTATCTCCTTTCTTTTATTTGTTTCCAGGATGAAGGTTCTGTTGAAGATCTGTCTCCCCAAGAATTGTTATGGAGACATGTAAGACGTGCCAAAAGAGTTAGAGCTAGGTAGGCATAACTATTGATTTGAGTCAATTAAATTGCAAAGCGTCTCTTTATCTGTTTGCTTTGTATTACAGTCACTGATGACATTTGAAGCAAATCAAACATGCACTGTTTTCGGTATGGTCGATGATGCTATTTCAAGGTTATAATGGTTTTTGTATGGGTGTAAACAGCAAGAGTTTGTGACAAGAAAAATTGCGAACTTGCCTTCTTGGAATTGTGCCTTGTGAAACTAATCATACAAGGAATTAGGTGTGTAAGCTTAAAGGAATTTTGTTAGGGCTTTTAATATATGTTGCATATCTTTACATAACGGTTGTTGATTTTATATGTGCAGATTAAGAGAACAATGGCTTCAGCGAATTGCACGGTACAGACGGAGACTTGCCCTTTTACTTCTTCCACCAGTTGAGTAGTACAGAACAATACAACTGGTGGAAGTTGACTTGCTCTTCCAAATTTTGGTTCCAATTGGTCATTGCTTATACCTTGGGTAATGCCTTTGGCTGAGGTTCTATATCCAGCCTTGCAGACAGGAGGGAGGAATGGCGAGATAAATTTAACCTGCATAGATTTATGGGGTTGGTGGATCCAATTGCAGTGGGGCCAAAGGAGAAACTGATGGGTGGTTTTGCATGCGGAGATATATTTCTCACTTCTTATTGTTGATTTGTCCATTCGAAAGAATCAAAGAATTGTTTATAAACTAGAAACAATTCGTATTTGACATCATTTTGGTGAAGGGTTTTATACATGTTGAACAATTTTATGGATGTCCTTTTTGCACATACGTATTCCGAGTGCTCTAGCAAGGTTTCTTGTATCTCATTTTTCTTTATAATGGATTTTTTTTTTTTTTTTCAAAATTTGTTGTTTTAAGGTTATTGGTAAAGGCTAAAGCAAAGATTATAGGATAGTCATTTGGGATTTTCTCCTTGGCAAAGTACAAAGATAAATTTGGATGTAGAGGGGGGAGAAGTGATCAGTAGAGAAAAGCTTTGCTTTTAGGTTTTAGGTGTAGTCTTTTGGAGTTTTTGTTGTGGACCTTTGGCCACCCAAGTTTGCTTTCAGTGCTTAGGGATCTACTTCGTGTTAGAGGACTTTCCGGTGACGAAAAACAAAACCGAAATTTCCTAGCCTTATTAGTGAATTAATTACTGTGGGTAACAATTACGGGATTCAACATTCAAGCATTCACGGGTTGAAAGATCAGCAGAATAATTGTCACAGTATAGGTTTTGTCTGTTATGAAGCTTTCTAACATACGGAAGGGAAATAAATAAATAAATGTAGGAAAAAAAATACCTGGATCAATTGCATGTAGCAGACTCCCTTCAATTCTAATAGGGTTGCAACACTAAATGAGAAAGGCTTTTGTGTTTTTTGGCCTCTAATTTCATGGTGACAAAGAAGCATCTATTAGACATGGATTTGTTTCTCACAGAGCATGCCTCACACCAATGTCACAGCAATCGTAGCCGTGCATTGGAAATACCAACATGTTGGTATACCTAATCACAATGACATGGAGATTCAAGAAATCGTGAAACAGATTCAATGGCCGATAGCTAAGAAATCGTGAAACAGAAATTTCAAGAAAGCTTTGGAGAAATTTTCAAAATAAAACCCTCTTGTTGGTATAGCTAATCACAGTGACATGGTGACCGAACTGGGGAGTCTCTCTCTCTCTCTCTCTTCATCTTTTTTATCCAGCTCCTGTCTCTCTTCGTGTCAATGCCATCACCGCTGCAACTTCAAGCAGCAATGGCATTATTTTTGCTTGCTCCCCCAATCTCTCTCTCTCTCTCTACTCTGTCTCTCTCCCCCCTTTCGCCCTTTCACTCATTCTCTGCAATTGCATCTTCATGAACAAGCTCCCCTTTGTCCTTTCACTCAGTTTGCAGTGGCATCTTCACGGACAAACTCCCCCTTACACCATCGACGAAGGACAGAAAGGTCCCCACTGATCTGATTCTCAAATGCAAATCGGAGGGTAAAGACAACAAAAGAACTCTCTCTCTTTCTCTCTTCAACCACACCTCCCCTGTTTTTCCTCTCTTACCATTGCCACTCAACTCTTAGCAGCGGCGATTTGGGTCGAACCTCCCTCACCGGACAACATGCATCTGAAATCTAAACAAGACAATCGTTTCTAATCTGGGTTTCAAATCATAAACAAGTAATTTTTTTCGTCAATCTCCCTAGTGGCTCCATCCGGTTGAGTTTAAGGGTAAAACAGTCATTTTATATTTTTCTATCCATATTTAATGACCCTAATAATGTTTAGACAATTGTTAGAAACAGTAAAGGTAGCGTCAATCAATTTTCATACGGTAAAAGTACACTTAGTCAATTAACTAAATCATAAAGATAGTTTAAGAAATTTACCCTTATTATAAATAGTAGAAATAAGACTAGGAAAGAAAGAAGAGTAAGATGTTTATTGTGTAAAATGCAAATTTCTAACACATAAGGATCATTATATTATATGCAGAGAAGGGAGTACAAAGGGGGACTACGACTACYAAAGCATTAGATGCATGTGTTGCTTCTTTTTTGTGGGTTTTTAACATTATCAAGATTACACTTAACTTGACAAAGCCCCATCATCCATGTGTTGCTTCTTTTTTGTTTTACCCCGACAAATTCATGATCTCATCATGCTTGTGGCATGGTCTACTTTGCCCCCCCCCCCCCCGATGAGAAACTGATCCAAGCAATTAATAGGAGTTGCTTTCATCAACCAAACACCAAACTGTAGTAATGTTGTTTTGTGCTATTTAAATTAAATACGCATCAAAGGCCGTTGGAGCAAAATAAGCAGCCCAATGCTGGGTAATTAAGCTGCCTTTCACCCTCTTTCTCAAAGGTGGATGCATGGGATAAGTCCTCTCTCTTCAATTCAAGCCAGTGGTCTTAAATATATAAATACTTCTTCAATTTGATGGTGACCTTATAACACCTATTAACTTCTATGCTAGACAAAGAGAGATGCTCATCTTTGCACCCTTATAATAATAATAATAATAATAATAATAATAATAATAATAATAATAATAATAATAATAATAATAATAATAATAATATTGAATGCCTTGAATTCTGTGAAAATATTATTTTTGACATTTCTTAGAATGGAATTGGAAACAATGTTTTTCCATCACCCTTTTGTTGCCTAATGGTTATTTCCTGGTGTCCGTTAGCATGGGTGCATGGCCTGGAGTGGGCCTTGATGGTAGAGTGGCCATATGCCCTCGTTTAATCCTCAACATGTTGGAATATCCAATATCCATGTGACAAGCCACATGTTGATGGAAGATGATTTTATGGTTATCTCCATGCAACACTCTCACACACAATCATTCATTTTAAATTATTACTTATTTATTTATTTTTTATAAAAAATAAATTTATTTGATTGTTTATTTGAAAATGTTTTTATGTGTGGAGATACCAATATTGTTGGATTATTCTAGATCCAAATTCCAGCTCTTATTGAGTCAATGGATATCCATTTGACCCAGTTTAGACTGGATGACCATGTGGATAGATCATTGGTCAGTATGGGACATTTGTCTCAATCTAGAGAGGCCTTGACTTGGTCTTCCCTCCAAATGTTCAAGTCGGTTACGCTCCCTCCTCAAAACAAGGAAGGGAATGTTGGGGAAAGACCTATATATATGGCTATCACAAAGATAGCAGTGTGTGCAAAATCAAAGATAACTTGGAAGGTCAAGCAACCTCCAAATTTCGGCTCCATCTAGATTTGACAATTCTCTCTTGCATTTTGTTTGAGAGATAGGTGTCTCGAATCCTGTATTGTGCAGCTACTCTTATTCTCTCTTTGTATGCAAGTTTGATACACCAAGATCTCAGCCGTTCACCTCTACATCTACTCGGTCCTTCACTAGTATCGAAGCCAAACATCGACTTGCACAGTTTTCTAAGTGTAGCCGCGCCACACTGGATAACACCCCATCTTTTAAGCTTCAGAAAAGGGAGAGGAGAGAGAATACAACCAGTTCGAGAGTTTCCTCCTTTCTCCACCGAAGCACTATTCGAGGGTTTCGTCAGCTCTCCCATCTGCACATCTGTTCGAGCCTCCAACTGTAGTTATTCACTGCGAAGAAGAAGAACCAGATCAAAGTTTTCTCATCATCCTCCACCGAAACCCTGTTTCGGGTCTTCTTTCTTCTTCGTCGAGATATCAAACAAGCTCCAACAGCTGCTCCTTATTATTATTATTCTTGCTCCAGCGACTCGAAACGAACATAAACTCTGGCGACTCCAAACCTAGTTCCAGTTTACTTATTTTTTTTGTTTGAAAGAGACGCCTATTCGAGTTTTCTCGAAAAGATATATGAATCTGCTGCTCGAAGAACTGCAAAATTTTATCTCTGATCTGAAGTCTGAAGTCTGAAGCAAGAAACCCTAAATAAATTTAGGGCTTTTACTATTTTCGTTCACTACAAAACAAATATGGTTCGATAAGGCGGATTCGACCAGTGAGCCGAACCCAAGCATCTCAAATCGGGTATTAGAGTTTTATTTATTTGCTTATTTCTCCCATTTCAATTTTTGTTCGGTTTTGCAATCGTTGATTTATACATCTTATTAATTATTTACTGTCATTTTTTTAGGCTCCAAACCACTTAGAAGTATCATTGCCGAATGCCAAAGCTGCTATTAAAAGGAGCAGTGGGAGCTGGACAAATTAATTCTGCTGGATAACTTAGCTGCCGATTAGTATTTTTGCGTAGACAGCTAAGTACTTTATTTGCATTTACTTTATTTATTTATTTTTGGCCTTCGAACTTGAGTGACAGTCTCATAAAATACAGCCAGCTAATACCTGTATTTGCTTTATTTATTTTCGAATATTCTTGCTATTTTGAACAATGTCTTCTACTGCCTTATCCCAAGAACTCAATAAAACTAAGAAACTGAATGACACCAATTATGCTCTCTAGAAACGTAGGATTAGAAGGATACTTGATGAAGAAAATGTTGATTATGTTTTAGATAAATCTATTCCTGCTAAACCTTACTGATGATGATTCCTTGATCGTAATTCGTGAATTTCAAAAATGGGAAAAAGATAATAGGAAGGCAAGAAATTGTTTGTTAACTTTTATGGAGCTTGGCATAGAGGTTGTATTTGAAGAATATAATAATGCTAAAGATATGTTTGAAGCCATTAAAGAAACATATGGAAAAATAACTGAAACTTATGTTCAATTGTTAATTGAAAAATATTATGGCTGTGAAATGAGAGAAGAGGATTCTATAGTAGATCATGTTAGTAAAATGAATGTAATTGCCAAAGAGTTGGCAACCACTAGGAACCCTATTCCCGAGAAAATTCAGGTCTCCACCATTCTTAATAGCCTCCCATCTTCTTGGAATTCTGTAGTAACGACTTTAAATCTATCCGGAAGAGAAGTTAGCATAAAAAACTTACCTACCTTGTTAGGATTAAAGGCTGAAAGGAAGATGAAGAAATCCCAACCTTCATCCTTAATGGTTACTCCCAAACCAACTGAAACTTCCCAAATGGTTKAAAAGCCTAAGGGCAAGTTTTTCAAAAATAATAATGGGAGGAAATTTAATAAGAAATTTAAATTCTCAAAAGGATTCAAGAAGACTAAGGGTAAACATTGTTTTGATTGTGGAAAACAAGGCTATATAAAATATAATTGCCCTGAATGCAAAAAGAATAAATCAAATAATGAAAAGGGAAAAACTGAAAAAAAAAGATATAGTCTGTGTAGTC